AATAAACGTTGGTGGTTGGATGAAGGCTACGAGCAGGCATGGTGGCACTCGTGTGGGTGTGGTATCTCATTCAGAAAAGAAACAGATCACGCAAGGAAGTCAGAAATCTGTACGGCGTTTTGAAAAGGTAGAGAGCAGAAATAAAAGTATCGGCACAGGAAAATATGAACCTCAAGACCCTCACGCAGTTCAGTGCTCGCATTCCGACAGACCTCCGCTTTCAAAGATGGCTTCTAACAAGGGACCTTCTTTGCATCTCACCTCCCATCCCCTTCCCTCCTTTCTCTCCTCTGACATCTCCCAGCTTAATCGAGGTTGTGACGAACAAGGGCCAAATCCCCACGCTTGTTGAAATATTACATTCTGGGTTGGTGGGAGAAGGTGTCGAAGTATCCACTCGCAGAACAAGATATAATACTGGGGAGGGGGTCGTTCCAAATATAGAAGAGAAGAAAATATTGGATTTATACCCTGCCCTTCAGTACCAAAAGGAGTCTCAGAGCAGCTTACAAACTCCTTTCCCTTCCCCTCCCCACAACAGACACCCTGTGCGATAGGTGGGGCTGAGAGAGCTCTGACAGAAACTGCTCTTTTTCAAGAACAGCTTTGACAGAACTATGGCTTGGCCAAGGTCATCCAGCAGGTGCAAGTGGAGAAGTGGGGAATCAAACCCGGTTCTCCCAGATTAGAGTTCGTGCACTTAACCACTACACCAAACCTCTGGTCCACAGATCAAGACGGATGGCCGTGTTAGTCTGTCTGTAGAAGTAGAAAAGAGTAGGAGTCCAGTGGCACCTTAAAGACGTAACAAAATTTGTAGCAGGATATGGGACAGATAGACTCACATTCTCGCTGTATCTGAAGAAGTGAGCCAGTGACTCACGAAAGCGCCTCCCCTGCCACAAATGTTGTTAGTTTTTCAGGTGCCCCTGGACTTCTACTTTTTTCTACTCTGGTCCACAGGTGAGTGCCAGTTTTGTACCTGTCAAAGTGAGAGAAAGCAAAAGGCTTGATTTAGGAAGCACTTGTAGGATTGTCTCTGGGGAATGCCAGCTAGGAAAGGGATTTCACACTCACCGATCAGTGAACAGGTTTCATGGCCGGGGGATCCGGAACGAGGGGTCTTCAGACTCTTGACATATGAGGGATTTGGATCACCAGCATCAGGCAAAAACCGAGGAAGAGCCTCAGTCCTTGCGCTTCAGCCACAACCTCTGCTAACTTGCCTCAACCCCCCCCCTTGAATAAAAGAAGAAGAAGAGATTGGATCTA